TTATTGAACCGTATTGAATCGATTTGAAATATATAGTACTGAACTGAAAGCTCACTGTATCGAGATATGTATCGTATCAGCAACTTCTTAATGATACCCAGCTCTAGTTAAAAACGAATTAATAAAACTTCAGTGTCCAGTCGGAGCTGACGTGACCGCAAACGTCGTGAGAAAAAAGCGTTGCAGGTTGTGGGCTCTTCCTGTGTATCGCTGCACGTCACACTAGAGCAGAGCGTTTTTATTCGTTTGCACGGAAATGACTCAGAAAATAAAAGTAGAGAAAGTAAGTACGCTCCCGTGGGCTTGTACCGGCTGAAAATAAGTGATTGAAGATTTCTCAAACGCGCGTGAATCACTCCAGATACACTTTTCAGGTGAGTAAATGAGAAGGAAACGACTATAACGTGATTAAAAGTCCATTTTGCAGAGCAGGTCCGCTTCAGCCTTATCCACAAGTGCCGCTCTGATTAAAGGCGTTAAAATAATGAACGCCCTTTAACACCGCAGGGCCTCGGCTCCCACAGAGTTACCCTGTCATTACCCCCGCGTGACCTCATCAGGTGACTGTCCTCATTATACACATGCACTCAGCCGTTACGCCGGTCACCTCAAGGAAAACATGGAAAAAAACGATAAAAATGTGACACTTGATAGAGATTTATCACACTCAGAACCTCCAGGATTCACTCACTGAGCTGCAAAGGCGTGTTCTGTTCCTCCCCCTGCGTCCTGATTACATACAAGCGGGTCAGGACTAAACCAGGACTAAACCAGGTCTAAATCAGGACTAAACCAGGACTAAACCAGGTCTAAATCAGATCTAAATCAGGACTAATTAAGAGCGAAAAATGCGATCGGGCACGGCCGAGATTGGCTCTGTGAGGTGAGGAGCTCTGAGCCAGTCCTTTCTCCTGCGTGACGGTCACCCCCCGAGCCCGTCCCGACAGTGAATCCTGATTTAGTCCTGGTTTAGTCCTCCTGGTTTAGTCTTTCCTGTTTAGTCCTGGTTTAGTTTATCCAGTCCTGGTTTAGGTTAGTTTAGTCCTGGTTTAGTCCTGGTTTAGTCCTGGTTTAGTCCTGGTTTAGTCCTGGTTTAGTCCTGCTGGTTTAGTCCTGGTTTAGGTTTAGTCCTGGTTTAGTCCTGGTTTAGTCCTGGTTTAGTCCTGGTTTAGTCCTGGTTTAGTTTCAGTCCTGGAAGTCCAGTCCTGGGTTTAGTCCTGGTTTAGTCCTAGTCCTGGTTTAGTCCTGGTTTAGTCCTGGTTTAGTCCTGTTTAGTCCTGGTTTAGTCCTGGTTTAGTCCTGGTTCAGTCCTGGTTTAAGTTTAGTCCTAGTTTAGTCCTGGTTTAAGTCCTGGTTTAGTCCTAGGTTTAGTCCTGGTTTAGTCCTGGTTTAGTCCTGGTTTAGTCCTGTTTAGTCCTGGTTTAGTCCTGGTTTAGTCCTGGTTTAGTCCTGGTTTAGTCTGGTTTAGTCCTAGGTTTTAGTCCTGAGTTTAGTCCTGGTTCAGTCCTGGTTTAGTCCTGGGTTAGTCCTCTGGTTTAGTCCGGGTTTAATCCTGGTTTAGTCCCTGGGTTAGTCCTGGTTTTTAGTCCTGGTTTACCTCTTCAGTCCTGGAATCTGGTTTAGTCCTAGTCCTGAGTCCTGGTTTAGTCCAGGTTTAGTCCTGATTTAGTCCTGGTTCAATCCGTGGAGTAAAAGCGTTAAAAACTTTGATAGAATCTTGGATTAACGGGCAGGTGTGGTGAGTGTGGGTCTCCAAAAATGGAGCCGTGCAGGACTCTGCGCTGTTGGACTCCTTTACAGAATAAATTAATCTCCGGTTCGTTACATAAAGAAGGAGGAAAATAACAAAAGGACGACAGGATTAATAAGTTTTAAGAAGAATGTAAAAAGTTTTGTAAATGTCCTGTGTGAGAAAAGTGTATAAAGTGTGTGGTGAGGAGTTTAACAGACTTAAAACAGATATAATAATGTAATTAATATAATATATATATATATATATATATTCTGAGTTCTAAATGCATCAAAGAGAATTTTGTTTGTTCCTAAAATAAACATGGTTGGGTTCTGTAACAGTGTCATAAAGGCCCAACGTATCAAATATGATACTTTAAAATAAATATTTCTAATGGTCAAAGTTAGTTTTTTTTTTTTTTTTTTTTTTTTTTTTACATTTTGTTCAAAGGTCCAATAATGAGTCAAATATCAAAAAATCTGATTTTTTTTTTTTTTTTTTATTGGATCATTTGTGGCAAACAAAAACAAAACATAAACCACGACTAAACGGGTCATGACTGGAAGAGTCCGAGCTGAAGGTACCAAATGCATGAACAACCAGTTTACATTCACAACTCCACCCACTGTACATATAAAAGACAAAATATAAATTAAAACAAACAAAACTCAACGCACAATTCATCAACTCCAGAGCTTTGTATTTTCCAAAACACACCAGTTTTTAAAAGATTTCTACAGAGTTGAACTGTTTAAAGTCATTGCGCCGAATATTTTACAAACCAAAATCTCTACCAGAAATTTCTTTCGTCTTCGTTCTTATTTGTTTATTTAATTTTTCCCCCGTTTATGGTCGCACAAACGAATAATAATGTTAACAACAATGACCTTGCGAAACAAACTACAATGAGAATGAAAGAACGTAAGGATTTTTTTGTTTGTTTTTCGTTTATGGTCATAAACGTATAAAAAAAAAACCTGAGTCATAAAAAAATCAGAATTTTCTGTCAATTATTTCATGTGGAAGCGGCTGTAAAACATGACCTTTAATTTAAAACGAAACGACAACATGGATATATGTAAATTCACAAACAAACAGCAGCACTTATTGGTGATGATTATCTGCTGTACAACAACAGAGCAGAGGAAATAAACACTGAGAAATGTGTGTGTGTCTGTGTGTATGTGTGTGTGTGTATGTTCTGTGTGTGTGTGTCCTGAGCTTATAGTTTGTCTGTGTGTGTTAAATCAGTATTTATCATGCACCTGTTATAGACGTGCGGGGGTGTACAGCGCCTCCTGCTGGGCGTCTGCTGTTTGACTTATTTTAATGAATGAATCCTGTCTTCATCTCACCTCCCCCGCTGATCTGTTGCTTCCTGCTTCCACCCCTCCCTCCCTCCCTCCCTCTGTTTCTCCCTTTCTCCAACCCACTCCATCTCCCCCTCTCCATCCCTCCTTCCATCCTTTCATTCACTCCTTTCTGGTTTCCTTTCTCTCCTTCCTTCTATACATCCTTTTTCCACTTCTCCCTCTCCCCCCTTTTTCCTTCCTTCCTTTTCTCTTTTCTCTTTCTTTCCTGCCCTCCTCCCTCTCTCCCTCTCTCCTCTTCTCCTCTTTCTTCTCTTCTTCTTCTTTGTTAATGAGTCAGATCGTATCGGTTTGTTGCTAGGCAGATCTGAGGAGTCATGAGCTGGTGTCTGCTGCCACCCAGTGTCTGAAAAGAGAACTGCAGGACCAAGTCTGTTTTTTTTTTTTTTTTTTTTTTTTTGCAAGTTTCAAGTAAGTCTCAAGTTTTTGACCTCAAGTCCGAGTCAAGTCGCAAGTCTGGTCCCGGTCTCAGTTCTGATCACCTGACCCGTCCCAACACTCCTAGTTCAGTCCTGGTTCAGTCCTGTTTTAGTTCTAGTTCTGTCCTGATTCAGTCCTGTTTTAGTCCTGGTTTATCCCTGGTCTCAGTCCTGGTTTAGTCCTGGTTTAGTCCTGGTTTAGTCCTGGTTTAGTCCTGGTTTAGAACTGTTTTAGTCCAGTTTTAGTCCTGGTTCAGGTCTGGTTCAGTTCTGGTTCAGTCCTGTTTTAGTCCTGGTTTAGACCTGTTTCAGTCCTGTTTTAGTCCTGGTTCAGTCCTGGTTTTAGTCCTGGTTTAGTCCTGTTTTTAGTCCAGTTTTTAGTCCTGGTTTAGTCCTGTTTTAGTCCTGGTTTAGTCCTGGTTTTGTCCTGTTTTGTTTTAGTCCTGGTTTTGTCCTGTTTTAGTCCTGTTTTGTCCTGTTTTAGTCCTGTTTTAGTCCTGTTTAGTCCTGTCTTTTAGTCTTTTGTCCTGTTTTAGTCCTGGTTTTGTCCTGTTTTCTGTTTTAGTCCTGTCCTGTTTTAGTCCTGTTTTAGTCCTGTTTTAGTCCTGGTTTTGTCCTGTTTTAGTCCTTTTTAGTCCTTTTAGTCCTGTTTTAGTCCTGGTTTTGTCCTGTTTTAGTCCTGTTTAGTTTTTAGTCCTGTTTTAGTCCAGTTTTGTCCTGTCTGTTTTAGTCCTGGTTTTGTCTGTTTTAGTCCTGGATCAGTCCTGTTTTAGTCCTGGTTTTGTTCTGTTTTAGTCCTGGTTTAGTCCTGGTTTGTCCTGTTTTAGTCCTGTTTTAGTCCTGGTTTTGTCCTGTTTTTAGTCCTGTTTAGTCCTGGTTTTGTCCTGTTTAGTCCTGTTTTAGTCCTGTTTTAGTCCTGGTTTTGTCCTGTTTTAGTCCTGTTTTGTCCTGTTTTAGTCCTGGTTTAGTCCTGGTTTTGTCCTGTTTTAGTCCTGTTTTAGTCCTGGTTTTGTCCTGTTTTAGTCCTGTTTTAGTCCTGGTTTTGTCCTGTTTTAGTCCTGTTTAGTCCTGGTTTTGTCCTGTTTTAGTCCTGGTTTTGTCCTGTTTTAGTCCTGGTTTAGTCCTGGTTTTGTCCTGTTTTAGTCCTGGTTTTGTCCTGTTTTAGTCCTGGTTTAGTCCTGGTTTTGTCCTGTTTTAGTCCTGGTTTTGTCCTGTTTTAGTCCTGGTTTAGTCCTGGTTTTGTCCTGTTTTAGTCCTGGTTTAGTCCTGGTTCCGGCATCACAGTTTAAGTCACGTAAATGGGAAAAAGCTGTTATTTGTTTTCTCCATTATTCATTTAAACACAAAATCAAAAAGTGAAAAAACTAATCATCATCCTTTTTTTTTTTTTTTTTTTTTCATTTTGGTTTTAGAGACAAATAATGAAGAAAATAGAAACGTAGAAAAGAAAATCTGTGTACTGTCTGTGTGTTCGTGTACCTGGCTGTTCTGTGGTGATGAGCCTTGTGGGAGTTGTAGTTCCTCTGCGGTCTGTTGTAGTCCTTAGATCTGTGGTCATGTGACTTGGGGTGGTGGAAATCGAACTCTGCGTGGTCCAAATCACCTGCACCGGAGCGACGCTGGACTGAGACGTGGAGTTTTTGGTTTGCGTGGGCAGTTTTGTGGACTCGTGGGTCGGAGGTGGGACGGGTTTGGACGGTGTAGTGGACAGCTGGCGGTGGGCAGGAGTACCCGGGTGCTTTGCCGATGTGGTTGCGGCGGGAGGGAGCGGCGGTCGGGTCGCCGGTTGGATCTCTGCCGACGTTGCAGGATGGTCTTCGGACTCTTGAGCCTGAGAGGACGGGGACACTGTGGGACAAAAGACACGGGTGACGGCAAAGACGAGAAATGAGATGGACGATGTGGTTTAGGACACAGGCTGGACTAAGGGACTTGACTGTCGGCTCAGTCAAATGAAGCAGATGTGGGGCAAATTTGGAGCCAACTTCCACATTAGGAAAAGTAATTTATTAATGGATAAAATAGAGAAATAAAAAGTCCAGGATCATGTAAAACAAGTTAATATGAACATTGTAAGACCAAAAATGACAAGGCTCGCTGCAGCAGTTACAGAGCCAGAGGTGACAAGATTTCAATGTAAAGTGAACTGGAGCCAGAGTCGATGGAGCCGGAAGCGCCACCATGATCACAGTCTATGGATTAAACCCAAAACCAAATCTGGACTAGAGCAGGACTAGAGTCCACACAAACCAGAACCAAACCAGGACACGTTTGGTGTGAACTTAGTTTAGTCCAGGTATAGACCTGGTTTGGTCTTGTTTTTGCCCAGGTTTTCCACACAGAGTGCACTTTGCACACACCAGGCCCTTTACACACACCAGCACTCTGCACACACTCCAGGTGTGTGTCAAATGACCTGCCACTATGTGATGTGGACTATGTAAACTGCACTATGTGAAGTGCACTATGTGAAGTGGTCTATGTGAAGTGGTCTATGTGAAGTGCACTATGTGAAGTGGTCAATGTGAAGTGACCATGTGAAGTGCACTATGTGAAGTGGTCTATGTGAAGTGGTCTATGTGAAGTGCACTATGTGAAGTGGTCTATGTGAAGTGGTCAATGTGAAGTGGACCATGTGAAGTGCACTATGTGAAGTGCACTATGTGTGAAGTGCGTGTACTATGTGAAGTGGTCTATATAAAGTGGTCTATGTGAAGTGGTCAATGTGAAGTGGACCATGTGAAGTGCACTATGTGAAGTGGTCTATGTGAAGTGCACTATGTGAAGTGCACTATGTGAAGTGGTCTATGTGAAGTGGTCAATGTGAAGTGGACAATGTGAAGTGCACTATGTGAAGTGGACTATGTGAAGTGGACCATGTGGCGTGTACTATGTGAAGTACACTATATAAAGTGGTCTATGTGAAGTGGTCAATGTGACGTGGACCATGTGAAGTGGACCATGTGAAGTGGAGCATGTGAAGAGTAGCGTGCTGTACTGACCGTGGACAGTGGAGTCGACTTTGAGAAGTGGACCATGTGAAGTGGTCCCTGTGAGGAGCAGTGTGTGAAGTGGACTATGTGAAGTGGTCCCTGTGAGGAGCAGTGTGTGAAGTGGACTATGTGAAGTGGTCCACGTGAGGAGCAGTGTGTGAAGTGGACTATGTGAAGTGGTCCACGTGAGGAGCAGTGTGTGAAGTGGACTATGTGAAGTGGTCCCTGTGAGGAGCAGTGTGTTGTACTGACCGTGGACAGTGGAGTGCACTATGTGAAGTGGACTATGTGAAGTGGTCCCTGTGAGGAGCAGTGTGTTGTACTGACCGTGGACAGTGGAGTGGACTCGGCTCACAGGGGGAGACATGAGGCTGCGGTTGAGGGATCCTGAACTCCAGTCTCCTGCTCACAAACACAAACTGCTCTCTGTTAACTACTGTACTACTACTACTGCTACTACTACTACTACTACTACTACTACTACTACTACTACTACTACTACTACTACTACTAGGATGAGATACAGAGGACATCTCACCGACGGGGACAGGGGGACGGGAGGCCGACAGGTTCCTCACTGCAGCAGAGAGAAGAGGAAGAGGAAGTGAGAGAACATAACTGTGAGGAAAACTGTGTCTTCAGCTGCATGACACTGAACTCCAGCAGGGTACTCAGAAGAAGACAGCAGAGTACCCAGTGGAGGACAGCAGAGTACCCACCCGTGTGCGGCCCCTCCACGATGGTCTGGTTGAACAGGGGGGTGATGGAGTCCAGGGCCCACAGCTCCATGGGCTCTCTGCCTGGAATCACACAACATACTTTAAAATATGAACATCTTCGAGGACACGGACCCCGACCTGATGGACCTGAGCTCTGAATTTTGTGAAGGAACAATTTTATAACATGATAAAAAACTCCAAAAATCTATTTAGCAGAATATCCGCTCTTTAATGTGATGTGAGACTCACCCAGCTGTCCGGCCATCACACAGATGTAGATGCAGTCGGAGTTGTTCCTCTGTGAAACTAAAATCACACTGTGTCACAATATGTGAATATGAAATACAGCAAAGTGTGCAGTGTACATAGTGCAGTGTGAAAAGTGTCCAGTGTGCAGTGTCAAAAGTGTGCAGTTGGCAGTGTCAAAAGTATGCAGAGGGCAGTGTGAAAAGTGTGCAGTGTGCAGTGTCAAAGTGTCCAGTGCGCATAGTGCAGTGTGCAGAGTGCAGAGTACAGTGTGCAGAGTGCAAAGTGTGGTGTGCAGTGTGTAGAGTACAATGTGTAGAGTGCAGTGTGCAGCATCAAAGTGTGTGGAGTGCAGTGTGCAGAGTGCAGTGTGCAGTGTGCAGAGTCCATTGTGCAGTGTGCAGTGTGCAGTGTCAAAGTGTGCAGAGTCCAGAGTGCAGTGTGCAGTGTCAAAGTGTCCAGTGCGCATAGTGCAGTGTGCAGAGTGCAGAGTACAGTGTGCAGAGTGCAAAGTGTGGTGTGCAGTGTGTAGAGTACAATGTGTAGAGTGCAGTGTGTAGCATCAAAGTGTGTGGAGTGCAGTGTGCAGAGTGCAGTGTACAGTGTGCAGTGTGAAAAGTGTGCAGTGTGCAGAGTCCGTTGTGCAGTGTGCAGTGTGCAGAGTACAATGTGTAGAGTGCAGTGTGCAATGTCAAAGTGTGCAGAGTGTAGAGTGTGAAGTGTGGTGTGCAGTGTGCATAGTGCAGTGTAGCAGAGTCTAGAGTCCAGTGTGCAGTGTCAAAAGTGTGTAGAGTGCAATGTGCGGTGTCAAACTGTCCAGTGTGCAGAGTCCATTATCCAGTGTGCAGTGTACAGTGTCCAGTGTGCAATCTGCAGTGTGCAGTGTCAAAAGTGTCCAGTGTGCAGTGTGCAGAGTGCAGTGTGTAGAGTGCAGTGTGCAGAGTACAATGTGCAGTGTCTAGTGTGCAGAGTACAATGTGCAGTGTGCAGTGTGCAGTGTGCGGTGTGCAGTGTGTAGAGTGCAGTGTGCAGTGTGCAGACAGACCTGACAGGATGGAGGAGGACTTGAAGAGTTCGTGGAGATAACTGCTGGAGTTTCCCATCACGTCCAACAGAATGGCCGTGAAATCTGCAGCAGAGGAACACGAGTTTTCTCACTGATAAAAAGTTTTATTTTGTCCGTTTGAAAACAACACACAAACTTTTCACACTATTTCTGAGGAGAATGTGTAAGGTACGTGAGGAGAAACTTTGGAGCACTGCAAAATGAACCAATGAACCTTTAAAAATCAGGTGTGGATATTAGAATTTTTGCCGTAAACACCAGGTGAATAAAGTGTTAAAGTGTCTTGCTCATGGACACAAATCGGGAGGTGTCAGAGCAGCCGTTGTCGTGTGAGTGTTTGTGTGTTTTGAGAGTAAAACGTGCGTGTACCGGTGAGGTCGTTGGTCTCGTTGTTCACACAGTAACAGAAGCGTCTCCTGAACTTGTTGCTCTCTATGGTTTTTATACTGGAAACTGAAACAAACAAACAAACATATTTAAGGACAAAACGTGAACAAGAGTCTTTTTCTTTTAATCTGAGCTCAGTCTGACCATAAAAACCTGACTTAGCTGGAACAGGTGAGCTGATGTGAAGTCCCTTCCTAATACAAATATATATTTTTTTAGTTCATCGCTGTTGCCTTTTTGTGGAAAACCAAACTCCTAAACTGGACCATGAACGCTCCTGAAAATATGCTCTTTAAATCCATTTTGTCTTGAGTTTTATACACTTTTTGGGCAGTGTTTGCTTGTGTGTGCATCAGAGGTGGGACCAAGTCGTTGTTTTGCCAAGTCTCAAATAAGTCCCAAGTCTCTGACCCCAAGTCTGAGTCAAGTCCCAAGTCAAATACAGGGAAGTCCAAGTCGAGTCTCGAGGCACTGACCCATAAGTCAAAGTCGTCTGCTTTGAATTTCAAGTCATTTCAAATCTTTAAACCAAAGTACTTAGATTTTTGCAGTTTATATGACCTTTAAACTAATTGTACTTAAAAGTCATGGTATATTTATATATGATTATTTATATAAGAGCTGCAGAAATGTTATTTTTTTCTTTTTTAAATGTTTTGACAAAATCTTAGTGTGAATTATTATGGCCAGAACAAAAAGAATTCAGATTTAAAAGTTTTAAATGACAGTCATTTGTCATGTCGTCTGCACTGAAATCGAAGGATCATGTTTTTGTAGTTCTTGTTTTACAATATTGTACTGTATATTATTGTAGTACTTTTGAGGATACTACATCACAGTACTTCAGTTTCCATCCAAAGTAACAAACAGAGAAGTGGGAGGGACATGTTCCAGTTTGTTCCTGTAAAATTAAGCGCTGCATTTATCAACTGTAAAGAGAAAAGTATTTTCTAAAAACATATATATTTTTTAGGAGAAGCATCAAGTCTTGTCAAGTCCAAGTCGAGTCCCAAGTCTTAGTCCATTTTATCAAGTCAAGTCTCAAGTCCTAAAAATAGTGACTCAAGTCTGGACTCGAGTCCAAGTCACGACTTGCAATTCCCCACTTCTGGTGTGCCACTTCTGGTGTGCATCGTGTCACCATGGTAACCGCTGAACATTCCACTAGAGAGATGCACACAGAACCCCCCCCCCCCCCCCCCCCCACACACACACACACACACACTGCAAAAAAAAAAAAAAAAAAAAGTTAAGTTGACTTGAATTAAAGTTTTATCATGATTTGAGTAAATTTCACTTGACAAGTAAAATGATCTAAGACTTTTTGTACTTAAAACATGAAAATACATCTTGCTACACTTAAAATAAAGAAAAAAATAAGAAAAACAACAACTTTTTACAATTAAAATAAAAAACTAAATCAAAAGTTGCTTGAATTAAGAGAAACTCACTTATCCCATTGAAAAATGTTCTTAAGTCATTTTAACTTACCTAGATTTTTATTTTTTTTCCCCAGTGCTAAGTATTAATGCATGGAAAAAGTCATATCTAAGCAATTTGATTAAGAACATTATTTTGATTTGAGTAGATTTCACTTGGCAAGTTACATGATTTACCAAAGGGACAAGAGTTTGTACTTATACACTAGAAAAAAAAAAACAATGTCTAGTTAAATTTAAATGACTTAAATTAAGAACATTTTTACTTTATTTGTGTTGATTCAACTTGACAAGTTAAATTATCTACCAGTGGAATAAGTGTGTTTTTCTTAATTCAAGCAATACTACATTTTGTTTCTTACTTTAAGCACAAAAAGTTGTTGTTTTTTTTCTTATTTTAAGTGTAGCAAAATGTATTTTCATATTTTAAGTACAAAAACGTCTTATTCCACTGGTAATTGTAATTGGTAATTGGTAATATTCCACAGCTGAAACTGATAATTTTATTTGTCAAGTGAAATTTACTCAACTCATGGTGAAACTTTTTTAATTCAAGTCATCTTAACTTGACTAGATTTTGTTTTTTCCAGGTTAATAGTAAAACTTACTTTGCTCGAACTAAGAAAAAATATAGTTTCATTGATAGATAATTTCACTAATCTACTTACGAAATCTTAATTTACATAAATATAAGTGTTTACAGTGTACATTTTGTTCACAATTGAAGAATTTGTACAGAGTTGCAGTAAAATTAGTCTTTTTTTTTTACGCAGTTCCAAACCCCCGCCACTAGAGGGCGCCCTGACTCTGCAGTGTGGACGTGCAGCAGCCGAGCGAAATGTTTATTAAGGAAAACATCGTAATTCTCTAAAAATTACCATTTAACATTAATTTCTCATTTTCAAACAAATCAAAAATATATTTAATGAACTTACATGATGCTTTCCGTAGTGCAGTTGCTATTTTGAGGATTTTTAACGATACTAAAGCTACATTTTATTTTGAATTGTTGATTAATGCAGCAACTATGCCATTTTAGTTAAACTTATTATACTTATACTTTATATTTGTTACTGGTTACTGGTCTGTAAAGGGCAAAAGCATAAACTTAAGCAGAGGATAGTGTGACGGTGACCAGACGTACTTATTTACGTACAGATTTATCCAAAAAACAGTGATTTGTTCTGATTTTATACAAGAAATGTGACAAGAAGTGTCCCTATTTTTGACCAATCTGATTCCTGACAACAGAAGAGAGGCATAACTTGTCATTTGTTTAGGTAAAATACTTTAAAAGCTGCTTAAAAATGACCAAAACAGGGCTGAACTGGGGCTAAACCAGGACTGAACCATTTCTGAACCACATCTGAACCAGGTTGAACCAGGTCTGATCCAAGACTATCAGATCTGAACCAAGTATGAACCAGGACTGGACCAGGTCTGAACCAGGACTAAACCAGGACTGCACCAGGTTTGAACCATGTCTAAACCACGTCTAAACCGGGTCTGAACCAGGACCAAACCAGGACCAAACCAGAACTGAACCAGGTCTGATCCGAGTCTGAACCAAGTCTGACCTTGGAATGAACCAGGTCTGATCCGGGTCTGAACCAGGACTGAATCAGGACTATACCGGGACTGAACCAGGTCTGAAGTAGGACTGAACCAGGACCGAACCAGGTCTGAACCAAGACTGAACCGGGACTGAACCAGTTCTGAACCAGGACCAAACCAGGACGAAACCAGAACTGAACCAGGTCTGATCCGGGTCTGAACCAGGTCTGAATCAGGACCAAACCAGGACTAAACCACGTCTGAACTGGGTCTGAACCAGGTCTGAACCAAGACTGAACCGGGACTGAACCAGTTCTGAACCAGGACCAAACCAGGACGAAACCAGAACTGAACCAGGTCTGATCCGGGTCTGAACCAGGACTGAATCAGGACTATACCGGGACTGAACCAGGTCTGAACCAGGTCTGAATTAGGACCAAACCAGGACTAAACCACGTCTGAACTGGGTCTGAACCAGGTCTGAACCAAGACTGAACCGGGACTGAACCAGTTCTGAACCAGGACTAAATCAGGACTGAACCAGGTCAAGTACCAGTACAAGAAATGTGACAAGAGGTGTCCCTATTTTTGACCAATCTGATCCCTGCCAACAGTAAAAAGAGGCATAACTCGTCATTTGTTGAGGTAAAATACTTAAAAATCTGCTTAAAAATGACCAAAACACAAAGAAAATGTGACTATACTGACTCACATTAGTGGTAAGTGCATACGAGTTTGTTTTTTTTTTCTTTAATTTCGCACATTTTTACCAACCAAACCATTTTTTTTTTTACAGAGTGTGTAGTCGTACTGTTGTAGACGAGCAGGGTGAGTTTGTGCAGGGCCATGGAGCTGTACGAGGTGACGCTGAGCAGAGAGAAGAGCTGAGACGAGCCTGGACAAACACACACAGGTTAGAGACGGACAAGAGTCTTTTACAGTTCTGTTCACCGTTTTATTTATGCTCGTGTAGACCTTTTCCGCAACGGTAGAGTAAACGACACGTACAGCACCGATCAAAAGTTTTAGAACACCCTAATTTTCCGGTTATTTATTGCAGTTCAAGTCGTGCAAGTCCAGTGAAGAGCTCGAAATGGTACAAAGGTAAAAACTGAACAGACAGAGGTTTAAAAAAAGAGATGAAAGAACAAAACACAAGTCCAAGCTCTGCCAAAACTACCTCAGGAAAAAAAGAACAAGATGGTAAAGCTTGAAAACCTGGAGTGTCCAGCAGCACAGTGTCCAGATTTAAACCTCATCGAGCTGGTTTCGGATGAGCTGGACAAAAGAGCGAAGCGACCGACAAGCGCCACACATTTATGGAAACTTCTGCGACAGACTTGGGAAGAACTTTCTGAAGAATATTTGATTTCTGTTGTAAAAAGAACGAGCCACGAGTGTGTTCAGCTGTTTTATCTGCCAAAGGTTGACACTTTCATCAATCAAAAGTTTAGAAAATGTTTTGGTCAACCGTAAACATTAAAAAAAAACTAGAAAAAGTGTGGTGTTCTAAAACTTATGACCGGTTGTGTAAGTCAATGCTTTTGTACGGCAAAATGTCTATGGAAATGTCTCGTTTATTTTCCACCAGCTTCATAAATCCATGACCAAATCTTCATCCAACAAGGTCGATAAACGATAAACATTCTAACATGAAGAACTTATCCACAACTATCAAGGTAAGAAAGACGAAAACTTAAAGGCGAACAACGACGACGCATTAGTGAAATACTGAACAAAACTATTGTTATGGTCATGAATAAAACAGAAGTAACTTGTGAACTCAGACTGATTCTAGAATTAAAATTTTAAAAATAGATTTCATGATGTCGATATTTGCATAGACAGAGAGATTTGTGCAGTTATCGACATCATGAAATCGATTTTTAATTTTAATTGTAGAATCAGTCTGAGGCTACGTTTATATGTTGACCGTCTGAACAGAAGACGCAAAAGCGGCGTCGCGTCTTCACTTTTTATTCCGCGTTTAGACGAGCGTTTTCCGGGAGGAGATCTGCGCGCGTACGGTGAAGCAAAAGTGTGTGGAATTCGATTGGGTTTTCACGCCAGGCGGCTCGGTGGTGACGCGTGACGTGACGTACGTGACGTGACCGTGACAGATCTGACCAGAGTTTTGCGTGACCTGAGTGGGCAGTGTAGACGGAAACGCTACGGTGGAGCGTCTACGCTACGTGGAGCGTCTTTCACTTTTCCACTCTGGAGGGTGGCTTCAGATTTTTGCGTTTTTAAGACCCAAGAACAGCGTCACCGTCTAAACGAAAGGCACTTCTGATAAAATATTTTGTCGTTTTTACCTGCAAGCGTTCTTGAGTAAACAGGCCTAAAGTGAACAAGTTACTTACGTTTTATTCATGACCATAATGTTAGTTTTGCTCAGTAGTTCACTAATGCCTCGTCGTTTTTCTCCTTTAAGTTTTGTCTTTCTTCCCTTGATAGTTGTGGATAAATTCTTCATGTTACAATGTTTATCCTTTGTCGACCTTGTTGGATGAAGATTTGGTGATGGGGCAGATTTCTGAAGCTGGTGGAAAATATGTGAGACATTTCCACAGATATTTTGCCATAAAAAAGCATTAACGTACGTGACATTTACTCTACTGCTTCTGCTGCTCCTGCTGCTTCTGCAGAATCTGAAGAAGCAGCTTGGATGAGCTGCGAAATCTATTCCACCAAATAAACTTTTGTCCAGTCGACAATAGGGCTGCGCAAAAATATTGAAATATCGATATATATCGTATCGCTTAATGTGATGATGCAGTATTGATATCGTGGTCTGCTGTATCGATATATCACCAAGAGTACTTTTTTGGTTTATTTTACTAAATTGTTTTTGTTACAGAGCTACACACCACAAAAAAACAAAAACAAAATCTAAGTTCAGACGACTTGAATTAAGAAAGTTTGATCTTGATTTGAGTAAATTTAATTTAGCAAGTAAAATTATCTGCCAGTGGAACGAGACTTTCTGCACTTAAAATATGAAAATACATCTGCTGCACTTAAAATAAGAAAAAGAACAACTGTTTACACTTAAAATAAAAAACAGAATCTAATGTTGCTCGAATGAATAAAATCACTTATTCCATTGGCAGATCATTTTACTTGTCAAGTTGAATCGACTCATCCATCCATTTTCTTTCTCTTACCCGGGGCCGGGTCACGGGGGCATCAGTCTAAGCAGAGCCCTCCAGGGGGACCCCGAGATGTTCCCAGGCCAGCCCAGAGACATAGTCCCTCCAGCGTGTCCTGGGTCTTGCCCGGGGCCTCCTCCCGGTGAGACATGCTCAGAACAATCGACTCAAATAAAGTCAAATGTTCTTAATTTTTGAGATTAAACATTACACATTAACATTTTAACTTGCCTAGATATTTACTTTCTGCAGTGCAGTTTTGTTGTTTGTTCAGAGGAAGGAAAAGTTTTTATGCGACACATTTGACATTTTCACTGTTTTGAGGATTAAAATTACCATTTTTCATATGAACTTTGCACTAGAAGAGATTTAACAAACACTTTTAGTATCACAGCCATGATTTAGGCTTTATTTTTTATTGAACTGTATCGAATCGTTTGAAATATATCGTATCGAATCGAAATTGCACTGTAACGAGATATGTATCGTATCGTGGTCTGTATCGTATCGGCAACTTTTTAAGGTTACCCAGCCCTAGTCGACAAACTGAAATTCTTCTTTGCCAATGAAACAAAACCCAACTCCAGGTCTGTTTCTGTGGAGGTAACAACATTCTATCATGTCTTAAAGGTTGTATGGAGGATTTTTTTTTGTTTCAAACTGTCAGTGAAAGTTTAAAATACCATTACAGAGACGCAGCAGCTTTGTAATTATGATGACCAAAAAAAAAAAGAACGAAAATCTATCAACTGTGGACGTGTTGAGGCCAGATAAACATCAGCCAATAGAAAACGAGGCTCCCTCATTTTCTATTGGCTGTTCGGTTGTCAATCAAACTCCCTAGTATAACTGACTCGTCGGAGCGCGGGGATTACGTGGTTTACGCAGCGGTTCTTAGAGGCTTTTTCGAACTGTCGCTTCCTCGCATTTCGCACAAAGTTTGTCGCGACGGCGGACGAGAATCCACGACCGGTTCGCCGCAAAAGAAAGTCCGTTTTTGAGGTCGCTGAAAGAAGAGGAGAAGAGGAAAAGGAGCAAAGCCAAACTGAGGTGATTCTTGGAGATCTCGTCCAGCGATGGCGCGACCGAAGCAGACGAAGGGTCTAAAAACTGACGCGTCGGTCGCTGAATTACTTCTAGACAGGAAACTTCAACAGTAATTCTGAATGCGCACAAGGACTGTCGCTGTATTTCTCTTCCCTTAAAAAAATCCTCTATACAACCTTTAAAGCTCTCAAGAGTCCATTTTACTTAACTAACGAAGTCACTTTTCTGTGGATTTATTGTTATGAATCTAAACCTGTATTTAACCCGGACTCACAGGACCGACATTCAGACTTAAATCTCCTTCAGATATTGATTTATCGTGATCCAATTACGAGCGACGCTAAAGGCAGATGATTCAAACGGACCAAAATAATGAAAATGAGCAGCAGAAGTCGACCGACGCGTACGAGACCGGAGGGGAGTGAAGAACGGCTCACCTGATTGGCTGGAGTTTATGAGAGTATTGACCAGCGGAGTCAGGTCAATGGCTGCAGGGTCCAAGTGCTCCGTCGGGAATTCTGGGAAATGGAGTGCCACAGTTAGACTTTAATCTGCCTCACTTTCTGCGTGAAGGTCCCTGCGGTAAAGCTGGGACTGGATCGGGACTGAACCAGGACTAAACAAGGACTAAACCAGGACTAAAGTTTTAATCTTCCTCACTTTGTACATAATGGGTCCCTGGAAGGCTAGAAATAGACCTCAACCTGGATTAAACCTGGACTAAACCTGGACTAATCCTGACACTCTCACATGATGGGTCCCTGGAAAGCTGGGTCTAGACCTCAACCTGGACTAAACCAGGACTAATCCAGGACTAAACCAAGACTAAACCTCTCATTATCACACGATGGGTCCCTGGAAGGCTGGGTCTAGACCTCAACCTGGACTAAACCAGGACTAAACCAAGGCTAAATCTCACATTCTACATGATGAGTCCCTGGAAGGCTGGGATTGGACCAACATCTGAACCAGGACTAAACCAGGACTGAACCAAGACTAAACCAAGACTAGACCTCACATTCTCACATGGTGGGTCCCTGTAGTGAAGACTGAAACTAGATCAGGACTAGCCCACGACTCAAACAAGACTAAACCAAGACTAAACCAGAACCAAACTACGACTAAACCTGCCTCACATTCTACATCATCTCAATTAAACCTGGATTAATTTGACCTAAACCGGGACTAAACCTGGACTAAATTTGTATTAAAACTGGATTAAACCTGAACTAAACCTGGACTAAACCTGAACAAATCTGGATTAAACCTGAACTAAATTTGGATTAAACCTGAACTAAACCTGGACTAAACCTGAACTATAATCCTGAACTAAACTTGGACTAAATCTGAATTAAACCTTGATTAAACCTGAACTAAACCTGGACTAAATTTGTATTAAACCTGGACTATTAAACCTGGACTAAACCTGACCTAAACCTGAACTAAATCTGAACTAAATCTGAACTAAATCTGGACTAAATCTGGATTAAACCTGGATTAAACTTGAACAAAATTTGGATTAAACCTAAAATAAACCTGGATTAAATATATATTAAACTTGGATTAAACATGGACTAAACCTGGATAAAACCTGAACTAAACTTAAATTAAACCTGAACTAAACCTGGACTAAATTTGTATTAAAACTGGATTAAACCTGAACTAAACCTGGACTAAACCTGAACAAATCTGGATTAAACCTGAACTAAATTTGGATTAAACCTGAACTAAACCTGGACTAAACCTGAACTATAATCCTGAACTAAACTTGGACTAAATCTGAATTAAACTAAACCTGAACTAAACCTGAACTAAATCTGAACTAAACTGGACTTGATTAAACCTGGATTAAACCTGAACAAAATTTGGATTAAACCTAAAATAAACCTGAATTAAATATATATTAAACTTGGATTAAACATGGACTAAACCTGGATAAAACCTGAACTAAATTTAAATTAAACCTGAACTAAACCTGGGACTAAATTTGTATTAAACCTGGATTAAAACTGGGCTAAACCTGGACTAAACTGAACTAAATCTGAACTAAATCTGGATTAAACCTGAACAAAATTTGGATTAAACCTAAAATAAACCTGGATTAAATATATATTAAACTTGGATTAAACCTGGATTAAACCTGAACTAAATTTGGATTAAACCTCAAGTAAACCTGACCTAAACCTGACCTAAAGCTGAATTAAATCTGGACTAAACTAAACCTGAACTAAACCTGGACTAAATCTGGACTAAATCTGGACTAATGAGGACATAAAACATAAAACACTCCAACATTAAACCAGGAGCAAGACAGGACTAAATCAGGACTATACCAGGACTAAACCAGGTCTAAACCAGGACTAAGACAAAAGTACCAGGACAACATCATGAATTTACTGCCAAAACTAAAAACAAGGACTAAACCACGACTGGCCCCAGATTACCAGGACTTAATCAGACTAAACCACAACAAGACCACATCTGATAAGGTCCTGGTTCAGGTCTAAACCCGGACTAAACCCGGTCTAAACTTGGACTACCTCCTTCCCCCGCCTTCACTCTCTGACCCCGGTGAAGGCACGACGATCGTTGCGAGTGATGGGTCCCGGCAGAGGAAGCTGAGGCTGCACGCGACCATATTAGGTCAATATCCTGCGCCTGGTCGATAAGTGAAAGATCCATGTGAGCTTTATGAAGACACAATGTCCCAGAGGGCGACTTTAACTCAGGGTCACATGCTGAGAGAGGACGTGTTTAAGACTCTGCACCATGATTAAGACCTGCTCACAGAAACAGGACTGAACCGGGACTGAACCAGGTCTGAACCAGGACTGAACCATGTCTGAACAGAGTCTGAACCGGGACTGAACCGGGTATGAACCAGGTCTGAATCGTGTCTGATTTCGTCTGAACCAGGACTGAACCATGTCTGAACCGGGACAGAACTTTGTCTGAACTAGGTCTGAACCAGGACTGAACCAGGACTGAACCAGGACTGACCCAAGTCTGAACCAGGACTGAACTAGGTCTGAATCGGCACTGAACCGGAACTGAACCGGGTCCTATTTGGGACTGAACCAGGACTGAACCAGGACTGAACCACATCTAAACCAGGTCTGAACCGGGAATGAACCAGGACTGAACCATGTCTGAACCGAGTCTGAACTGGGACAGAACTGTGTCTGAATTAGGTCTGAATAAGGTCTGAACCCGGACTGAACTGGGTCAGAACCAGGACTGAACCAGAACTGAACCGGGACTGAACCAGGTCTGAACCAGGACTGACCGAAGTCTGAACCAGGACTGAACGAGGTCTGAACCAGGACTGACTGACCCAAGTCTGAACCAGGTCTGAACTAGGTCTGAACCAGGACTATATCGGATCTGAACCAGGTCAGAACCAGGTCTGGACCAGGACTGAACGATGTCTGACCCGAGTCTGAACCGAGTCCAAACCGGGACAGGACCGGGTCTGAACTAGGTCTGAACCAAGACTGAACCAGGTCTAAACTAGGACTGACCCAAGTCTGAACCAGGTCTGAACCAAGACTGAACCAGGTCTAAACTAGGACTGACCGAAGTCTGAACCAGTCTGAACTGAACCAGGACTGAACAGACTGACCAGGTCTGAACTAGGTCTGAACCAGGACTATATCGGATCTGAACCAGGTCAGAACCAGGTCTGGACCAGGACTGAACGATGTCTGACCCGAGTCTGAACCGAGTCCAAACCGGGACAGGACCGGGTCTGAACTAGGTCTGAACCAAGACTGAACCAGGTCTAAACTAGGTCTGAACCAGGACTATATCGGATCTGAACCAGGTCAGAACCAGGTCTGACCAGGACTGAACGATGTCTGAGAGTCTCGAGTCCAAACGGGACAGGACCGTCTGAACAGGTCTGAACGAGACTGAACCAGGACTAAACTAGGTCAGGATCGGATCTGAACCAGGTCAGAGGTCTCTGAACGATGTCTGACCCGAGTCTGAACCGAGTCCAAACCGGGACAGGACCGGGTCTGAACTAGGTCTGAACCGAGACTGAACCAGGTCTAAACTGAGTCAGAACCGGGTCTGAACCAGGACTGAACCAGAACTGAATGGGATCACAGTTGTGCAGGTTGGAGACTCCTGGTTTTACAGCTGAATGGACATTAGAGACCAGGTTGTGTGCAGAGTTTTACCTGTGGAGTCGTGATCTTCTTGTGGTCTCTGCTCCTCACTCCTCGCTCCTGCGCTCCACAAAACAGCATACATACATTATTACCGTACAGAAGTTCAGCTAGATCCATGTTTCTGAAGATATGAGCTAAGATCCTGGTCAGGTCAGGTAAACCCAGTCAGACCCTTCTCCAGATCTGAAGGAGGTTTCCAGTGAGAAGCATTTAGAGAAACTGCGCTGAATGATTTCTGGGGAAGAGTACCAGACTGGAGCTTTCTGACCTGAGCCGTGGTCCTCGTCACGAGTTTGTCGTACCTGTGTACTCTGGGTCGTCTCTCCGCCGTCTCCGAACTTCCACAGACCTTTGTTCTGTAGCACATCAGAAGAACGTCACAGCAACACCAAGAAAAGACCAAGAAAACGTCAGAAGAACACCAGGAGTATGTAGGTTATGTTGTGTTTTGGAGAACCATATTTTATGGATTATAAGTCACACTTTTTTTTTCATGGTTTGGGTGTTTCCTGCGACTTAAATTTAAATGTACCACTGTCACTTTGCTCTACTGCGCATGTCTCCTGCAGAAAGAGCCTCTGTCCTGTCTGTATCATGTCAGTCGATCGCACCGTTACTTCTGCACCACTGAACAATTTAACATCTAAACAAACTTATAAAGACAAAGATTGAGAAGACTGAACACAAATGACCCCAAAAACAAAATCCGATTTTGCAGATTACAAGATGCAAGTCGTGAAATCTGCAGCTGAAAACGATAATCGAGCAGCAGAAAGAAAGTTTGGAGTGAGAGAGAAACTCGTGACACCGGGAGGATGCACCATGAAACTTTCCTGAAGTCACTGGATGGATGGACAAAGTCTGGACTTCAGTGACACCGAAACCATCCTGTCGGGATTCAGAAAGACCAGAATAATTCTAACTGGAACTGAGTCTGTCGAAAGTTACATAGAAGAGGAAGTGGCGCTCTGTTTACCTCCGGAGGTCGCGGAGTTGCTCAAAAATAACACATAGGATGAGTAAGGAAATGGATTTAGTGATTTGGAGTGAGACGGAGAGTTTGTTAAACTTGTTCTGTTCTGTTGTTTATGTTATAGTTTATCTGAAGAACTGTTCATATGTGACGTTAACAGTCTGAAATTTCCCCCCAAAAGTGCGACTTATACTCCAAAGCGATTTATAGTCCGAGAAATACGGTAGGTTGCAGGGTTGGAGTGGACAAAGAGAGCACGAGCCAAAAATGTGCTGATTCTGATCTCTGTTTAGATGTTTCTTCCTGGCACATATGGACCGTGAAAGCTCCAAGGCCCAGACCTGGAGGACTCAGGAGAATGGAACAATACCTGGAGAGTCGTAACAGAGCAGCAGCAGTAACACGGCTGACACCGACAGCAGCAGAAACAGAGGAGCGCGGCCCTGTGACGAGGACATTCTGTAACACACACACAGAAACTCGGGTCACCTCGTCTTTTTTTTTTTTTTTTTTACTTTTATATAAAAACTGTTGCTTAATTGATGTAAAACGATGATACATATTTACCACAGATACGATCGCACCAAACCGATGACAAAATCTTTAAACATGCCAAAACTGTACAAGAAGCTTCAGAAAAATGAACATCAGCCATGACTCATGTCTAAAAGTGGGTCAAGAACTTGTGCTTGCAACTCAGTATAAAAAAAAAAACAAAAAAAACAACAACAACAACTGAGCTACAGAGGTGCAGTGTGTTTGTGGACGGGGTGGAACTCAGCCTCGTCAAAGAGTTTAAATACCTGGGACTGACGTTTAAGAAACACATTAAGCTCCTCGCAAAAACTGTTCATTTTAACTTAGTGAATTTTAGTCAGGTAAGATCCTTCATGACTCCATATGCGTCACAAATGTTTTTACACTCCATGATTCTTGCAGAACCACATGGTCATTCACTGCTGGCACAAAACTCAAACCAGTCAAATCACTTTAACCATTCTCATCTCACCTGCATTATTTTAGACAAGTACAATCTGCTTAATTTGAATAATTTGGTTCATTTTAAATATGGATGTTTTATATATAAAGTTTTGTGTGGACTTGCCCCTGCTCCATTACAGGATTTTATTAAAGTAAAGACCGTCAGTGGGATTGGGAACTAGGACCACGGCCTAAGACAGGAGTGTCAAACTCAAACACAGAGGCCAAAATAAAAAAACTGGGACTAAGTCGGTGCCAAACTAAATATCTACTGAAAAATTTCAACAACATCTGCATGTTTTCTCTTCTTTTAAGATATGTAACGTTAAACCTTTTCTTATTAAAATAAATGTTTAATAATAGTTTTGCTTAAACATTGAATCCAGAACAAACATCATATAAAATAATAACAACATTTTAAATAAATAATGTGTCTATAGTCGATCTGTAGCCGGTGGGCAGCTCTAATACATGTTTGATATGATCTCTCGGGCCAAACGTAATTATATCGTGGGCCAATTTTGACCCCCAGGCCTGAGTCTGATATGTCTGACCTAAGGGAACTGTGAGCTCCACACAGACGCAGACATTTGGACAAAGTGTGTCTCAGTCAGAGGATCTAAGTTCTGGAACATTCTCCCATCATCAATAAGAGAAACTCCAACACTGGACACTTTCAAATCCCACTTGAAACAGCGACTAAAGGAAAACCAGACTTGTGGGCACTTTTAGTTTAGAACTGTCGCTTGTTATTGTTGTTGTTTTTTTTTTTCTGTTAAATTTGTGGTGTCACCTGCTGAGATGGAAATGAGAAATATTTACTCATTAATATACACTGTCCATATTCAATAAATTAAAAAAGAAAACCCATCATAAGCTTTTAAGACAAGTTGGTGCCAATCTCTCCAATATAAAAGTTCTGTAGTGTATCTTTAAATATAACTGTGTAAAAATAACAAATCACTACCCACCTGTTCTCATTTTAAAATTCAAAACTCAGCCTTTAAATTCTTCCCTGAGTCGTTCTCCTGCTCTTACCTGACGTGCGGTCGTCCAGAGGAGGTGCCCGCGCTCGGACTCGGCTTAGCGCTCTAATCCTGTCGATCTGGTTGTCAGGGGCGATTGTCCGGTGCCAGTACAGTGTCAGTGTGCGCCGGGCGGGCCCCCGAGCCCAGAGCTGAGCCGGAGATCAGGTTACGGCTCCTCCTCCCGACGCCGACCTGACCGAAGCTTTCACTCAGACCCCCGCACCTTCACTCAACAACGGCAGACGATCTGGAGAGTTTGGTTTAGGGTCGTCCAAATATTTTACTTTAAATATACATATATCATGTCAGGATGTGAACTTAAAGACTCTGAGCGTGACTTTTTTCCAGTGTATTTGAGCAAAAATGGTTCAGAAATATTGTATGAGCAGCTCTTGAAGTCAAAATATGTCCACTCCACGTTTTATTGTCTCAGATTTAGACATCGTCTCTGCAAAACTTCGCTCTGGTCTCTGAAAGTTGTGAAAAGTGCTTTTAAAAAAAGTGACATTAAGAGGGAAAGAAGCCTAATGTTGGACTAAATCACTAGAATTATACCTTACACCAGATGTGGCTAATATTTGATTTAAGCGTTTGCAAGTTGGTAGTTCCATCTCAGCACCTTGAGCAGGACACTTCATCCACCATGTGTTTAAGTGCCTCATGTTCATACTCATGCCCATACCAGACTGTCAAAGCCTGATCTCGTCAGATCTCAGAAGCTAAACAGGGCCAGGCCTGGGTAGTATTTGGACAGGAGACCGTTAGGTATAGCAGGTGCCACAGGGGGGCGCCAGTCGCAAAAACTGTTGTTGTGTCCTTAGGCAAGGCACTTCACCCACATCGCCTATTATGAAAAATGTGTGCGTGCGTGATGGTGGTGGTTTGAAGCACCAGTGGCTCTGTAAAAACATTATGAAATGCCCCGCCCGTAGCCCTCCATGAGGCAGACCCAAATATTGACTCTTTTAAAAAGCAGCTCAAGACACTATTTAGACAAGCTTTTTCACAACGGCCTCAAGTGCCACGATGTGGGGTAAACATAACTCTCAGTTACTGCTTTTATAAGGCAAAATATTTGTACATATTCTCCACCAGCTTCATAAATCTGCCCCATCACCAAATCTTCATCCAACAAAATCAAACAAAGGATAAACATTCTAACATGAAGAATTTATCCACAACTATCAAGGTAAGAAAGACGAAAACGTAAAGCGAACAACGACGACGCATTAGTGAAACTACTGAACAAAACTAACGTCATGGTCATGAATAAAACAGAAGTCACTTGTTCACTCAGACTATTCTAGAATTAAAATTAAAAATCGATTTCATGTTGTCGATATTTGCATGGACAGAGAGATTTGTGCAGTTTAAATGTGAGACATGTGATCTGTGAACATTTGTAGCATTTAAACTGCACAAATCTCTGTCTATGCAAATATCGACATCATGAAATCGATTTTTATTTTAATTCTAGATTCAGTCTGAGTGCACAAGTTACTTATTCATGAATTACTTATTACTTCTGTTTTATTCATGACCATAACATTAGTTTTGCTCACTAATGCGTCGTCGTTGTTCGTCTTTGAGTTTTCGTCTTTTTTCTCTTGATAGTTGTGGATAAATTCTTCATGTTAGAATGTTTTTCCTTTGTCAGCCTTGTTGATTGAAGATTTAGTGATGGGGCAGATTTATGAAGCTGGTGCAAAATGTGCAAGATATTTCCACAGATATTTTGCCACAGAAAACCATCGACGTGCTTGACGTTTACTCTATTCCTCTGTTCTTGTACATGTTGTTTATTGCACTCTGTAAAGCACTTGGTGTTTTTTTTTTTTATCTGTGAAAGGCTTTATTATTTACTAACTAACTAACTTACTAAATATCCTCCTCACTGGGAAGTCTCTAATAGAAAACAAGCTGGGTAAAAACACAAAAACTGTCCTGAACAGGGAATAATTGGACACACAATGGATCAGATACAGAGTTGGAGTGTGTCTCTTGACTCTTCAACAATCTCGCAAGGACTGAACGGGCAGAGTGAGTTTATGTAGACGAACCTGGGATGATCTGGGAAAGAGCAGCAGCTGCGGGAAAAACTGTGAGGAACTGGATCAGACTGGAAAATTGGGAAAACATGTAAACAAAAGGCAGAAAGTAGCTCTGAGTGTTGCTGTTTTTGTAAAGTTTTCTCCGATCGCACTGATTCAGACAGGAAAAACTCTGTTAATTACGTTACAAATAATTAAAAAACATGACTTATTTGACATTCTGTTGTGTTTTCCAACGAGCTCGACCTCATTCATTCCGGTTTAACCTTTTGCGTAGTTTCCCCCGTGCTCCTTTGTCGAGCCCTGACAGTCCAAACTCACAATAAAAAACAAAACAAAAACCACGACGAGCACAAAGAACCGTTCAGAACTTTATTATTAACAGGTGCAATTGAAAAGATGTGGAATTGAAAAAAATCAAGTCATAAGAATACATTTGCATATTAAATCATGATGGTGAACACAAGTGCGAGCCGGCGGAGGGGCGGGCGGTGACGGTGACGTGTCCACAGCTCGGAAGGCCACTGGTTTAAGATTACCCACAATCCCCCATAATCCTCTGTGTGTGGACGAGCTGCCATCTTCTGTGGTCAAATCAACTACGAGTACGAGGCGAGTGTTATCAGTGAAAGTTACCGCGTGTTTGAAAAGGTCCCGTATTATGCATCGTTTTGATGTGAAGGCAGTTTCAGGGCGGGAAAGATCAGCGTAAACCCAGACAGTGAGTGAACGCAACGAGGAAACGACAAAACACGATAAAAACTGCATTTATATTTTAGCTACATTCATAAACGTTCATTTTATGTTTGTTCGGACGAAGAAAACTCCAAATATTAACTCAAAAAAGACGATGTAGTCCCTCCTTCATCCAGCAGTGGTCCAGAATCTGTGTATCATTCGTTTATTCGTTTTTTCCAAAATAAAAGCAAAAATAAGAAAACGAAAAAACAACAATTTTTGTCATTTATTTGTCTCCAATAACAAAATGAAGTCCTGGTTTAGTTCTGGTTTAAGTCCTTGTTTAGTTCTGGTTTAGACTTGGTTTAGTACTAGTTTAGATCCAGTTTAGTCCTAGTTCAGTTCTTGTTTAGACCTGGTTCAGACCTGATTTAGTCCTGATTTAGACCTGGTTTAGACTGGTTTAGTCTTGTTTAGTCCTGGTTTAGACCTAATTTCCTGGTTTAGTCCTAGACCTAATTTAGGCCTGGTTTAGTCCTCATTTAGTCCCTGGTTTAGTTTTAGTCCTGGTTCAGCTCTGTTTTAGTCCTGGTTTAGACCTGATTTAGACCTGGTTTAGTCCTGGTTCAGTCCTGTTTTAGAACTCGTTCAGATCTGGTTTAGTCCTGGTTTAGTCTGTATGGGGCACAAAAGTGCAGCATTGCAGTTTAAGTCCAAAAA